GAGTTTCTAATTCTGGAGAAAATAATGATTTAGTGATATAGATCTTATCAATTAACTCATATTTGGGGAATAATAATAATAATAATAATAATAATAATAATAATTTTAGTTTATATTGGTAGTACTTACTTTCAGCCTGGAACCGCCATAAGATTTTTTTCATATCACTTGATTTTACGGAGGTCTGGTATTGTCATGCATTCTCTGTATAACATACATAGAAACCTCGATGACTGAAGGTTATTAGGGGTTAGGCGAGTTTACTTGAGATTAGCATGATTAGATCTGTCTTTATCAGCGCTTAAAATATACGCCAAGCACCCGATAGGCATAGCTAACTAGGCACTTTTCCTACCCATCCCTAATACCAACACTCATCTTGTCTGACCAGGTCCTTTAAACCAATCGGGTGTAACATTAGCATCATGATCCACTTTCTGTTTAATCACCTCGATCTATTTGCTAATAATCTTGGTGATTATAACGATAAACAAGAAGAAAGGTTTCATCAGGATCTCAAATGGAAGAAAGATTCAAAAGCAGATGGAATGTTAACATGATGGCTGAGTTCAGCTGGAGCGTCAAAAGAGATCAACCTTTAATAATAATAATAATAATAATTAGAAGTTGATCGATTGAATGACTCGTTTTTTGCGGCTTATCAACCCTTTACAGGTTATTTAAAGCCAAAAAATATTTTTAGATTGGAAGAATTTTTTCAGAGAAAATAATAATTTACTGATACAATTCTTATTAATTAACGTAAGTTTCAGGGAGAAGAGATGGATTCATGCCTTTCCCAAGGGTATTTGCACTTAAGTGTATATAACAAACCCAACTAGAATTTGAACTCGGCTCTCCAATTAAAAAATCCCGAGATTATTCATTACACCACCCGCACATCCAAGATTACACTACAGCTTACACCTTCGTGAATTTTATATCAGTCTCTTTCAGAATTTTACTTAAAACATTATAGACGCCTAATCGTGAAGATGGAAACGAAGAGGTGCGTTTATTTTTTGCCTGTGTTCAATCTGACAACATTTCAGGGCATGTAGTGAAATATCGACTTCTGATTGGAGATTTTGTAACACTAAATCGTTGTTATCCCCCGACGTTGTGGTGAATAAACAGAAAGTGAAACTTGATACTCATGTTGCACCCGAGTAGTTTAAAAGACCTGGTAAGACAAGATACTGGTAGTGTTAAGGCTTGGTAGAAAAAGTGCCTAGTTGGCTATGCTTATCTAGTGTTTGGCGGCTATTTTAAGCACTGATAAAGAAAATTCTAATCTTGCCAGTCTCAAATACACTCGCTTAACAACCCAATAACGCTCATTTATCGATGTCCTTATGCATATTATGCAGAGACTGCGTGACAATAACAGACGTCCGTAAATTCAAGTGATATGATAAAATCTTATAACGGTTTCTGGCTTATAGTGAAAACTACTAATTAAACCTAAAATAATAATGATAATTATTATTATTATTATTATTATTATTATTACTGTTGTTGTTGTTGTTGTTGTTATTATTATTTTTATTTTTATTTTCTTTGATTTCTGGCGTTTACACATTTCTTTCCGGGTCCCGCCCAGGGACCTAAGGTTAGAAATGGCGTCATGACACTTTCCACTGACAAAAAAAAAAAAAAAAAAAATCATAGATAAAGCCCTTCGTAAAGTGTGGGCTGTACTTGTCAGAACAATTTTTTTTATCTCCTTGAGGCATGGACTTCCATGAATCCCTTCAATTAGTCTACTGCAATCTTTTCCAACCAGACCTAGGGCTCCAACTACAACATGGATTGTTGATGTTCCCATATGCCACGTTTTCGAGATTTCTATTTGAAGGTCCTTGTATTTTGGCAACTTTTTGAATATCTTCAAAGATACATTGCAGTCAGCAGGGACTGCCATATCAATAAAGAGGCACCGTTTTTGTTTTTGGTCTTTAATAACAATATCTGGGTGGTTGGCTTTGATTGTTTTGAATTGTAACAGGTCCTATCTCCGTAACCGGGTCTAGGTGGTGTTCATACCAGTTTCTTTCAGTTTCCTTCCCGTAGAAGTTGCAGATTATTATTATTAGTAGTAGTATTATTATTAGTATTATTATTATTCCCCACACCCAGATATGGACTAACTAAGACTTGTAACACTAAATCATTATTTTCTCCACAATTAAAAATTCTTATGATCTAAAAATATTTTATGGCTTTAAATAACCTGCAAAGTGTTGATAAGCCGTAGAAAATGAGTCAATCAGTCAGTGAAATACATACGCATGTATGTCTTCTTTCTTTTTTTCCTTTTTAATCACTTCACCCCAAGCAAGATAGGAATTGCACTGTTACGCAGAGTGAGAGAGGCTGAAATGTCCATTAGAAATTCAACTAAGACCTGCCTTTGAAAGAGCTTTATAAGAAGAGAAATAGTCGTCAGTGGACCTCTAGTTAAATTATAACAGAATGGACAGTGATAACTTATATTTGGAGAGTAGCTCTTTACCCCACATAACTTTGAGATCATGTCATGTTTAAAAAGAAGGCGAGGCGGGAACAAGTAATTGTGGCGGGGGTCTGCTTCTGGAATCGTAGCAGTGTAAAAAGAAAGATAATAGACAAAGACACGATGACTGTTAAATATTAGATTAATTGTAGTGAAGATGATGAACGATTCAAACGTGAAATTTAACTAATAATTTAAACACTCAAATAACATGGACAATAACAGTCAGAAAACGAGAACAGGTAATAACAAAATTAAAAATAGAAGTGACAAAAAAAGAGACAAAAACGGAAGAGGAAAGATTTATGAATAATCCAGAGTGGGTATCCCTTTGTTTTGTTACTTTCCTCTTTGAGAGAGCTATATCTGTTTACTGAGACTATAAAAGAACATTATACGCGAATCCTGTATTCTCAGTTGAATAAAGCTTTCATATATATATAAAAAAAATAAATTAAATGACCAGTTGAAACAAGGATTAAAAATGGCAGTGATTTTACATTGTCTGGAATATAAACATAAACAAACTATCATCATCTAAAGTGAGGGATCAGTTTATGTATTGATTGTAGTATAGAAGTAATCCCCTACTTTATATCCACATTATAATTTCTTGTTTGTTGATAAGCCATAGAAAACGAATGAATCAATCAATGAAATACTGATTAGCTACGCAGGCATGTCTTTTAGATTTATTTACATTCTCTGGAATAGAAATGTATAGAAACTAATGTGGCCACAAAGTAAGGGCTCACTTTATGTATGGATTGTAATATAAAATTGATCCCCCAATTTATATCCACGTTATGTTTTCTTGTTTGTTGATAACCCGTAGAAAACGAATCAATCAATCAATGGAATACTGATTAGCTACACAGGCTTTATTTACATTCTCTGGAATAGAAATGTATAGAAACTACAGTGGTCACAAAGTGAGGAATCATTTCATATATTGATTGTAATATAGAATCGATCCCCCACTTTATATCTACATTCTATTTTTTGGTTTATTTATTAAATTCTGATTAGTTATGAATCTTGCTTTTCACCCCCAGATATGGGTTAATTCGTGAGGCTTGGATCATTATGTCATTATTATCTAAAACAAAATATTTTTAGAATCTAAAAAAATTCTGACTTTAAATAACCTGCAAAGGGTTGATAAACCGTAAAAAACGAGCCAATCTATCAATCAACTTTCGATGATGATTATTATTATTATTATTATTATACAAGTCTTGAAGGTAGAGGGCGTCTATCTGCAATTGACAATCAACATCTGAAAACACTAGTCGAAAAAAACCGACATCAAAATGTGAGAGAAATGTCTCAGAGAATGGGTGTTATTTTTGGACAATGTCGGAGCTTCTCAGCAAAATCGACAAGGTGAGAAATCTCGATAAATGGCTTCCACATCAACTCAGAGTTCGATATTTTGAAGTGGGCACGATGCTGCATCTTCGAAATTCCAATGATTCATTTCTTGATTGAATAGTGACTTGTGATGAGAAATCGAACCTTTATGACAATCGTAAATGATCGGATCAATGACTTCATCATGACGAAGCTCCCGCACTCTTTCCAAAATCGAAATTACACAAACAGAATATTATGGTGTGTGTGTGTTTGGCAGTTCGTCATTTTATTCATTACGGCTTTCTGGAATCTAACCAGGGCATCACTACTGAAATTTACAGCCGTCAACTGGATGTAATACTCTGCGACTGGCACTGTTTAATACATGAGATCCAATTCTTCTTCAAGATCCAATTCTTCTTCAAGACAACGCTCGACCAAATTTTGCCAGGATGTCACTACAACAGCTCACCAACTTTGGATACCAGACTTGGCCAAATATTCATATATCCTCCTGATCTCTCACCTATTGACTATCACTTTTACAAATATTTTGACAATTTCATTCATCTAAAAGTCATTCCGTTGCAAAAAAGATTGGTACCGATTCTTTCGGCTTATCAAACTTTTTTTTTTTTTTTGTATGCCAGAAAATATTATTTTAAAATAATAATTCTTTAATGATAAAAGTCTTACTAATGAAAACCTTATCTTAGAGAAAAGTGGATTCATCCCTTTCCCAAGAGTATTTACGCGTAAATGAATATAACGAACCAGTCTGGAAGTAGAACTCGGCTCTCCGATTAAAAATTCCTAGCCATTATCCATTATAGCAACCGCATATCCCAAGCTTACAGAACCTGATATTCCGAAGTGGCCACCCATGTAGGTACTGACACCGTTTAACATTACTTAACTTTGGTGACAGTACCGGAATTGATGTTTCAACGTGATATGGCTGTAAGCAATACAATTCCGCAGATCAAAGCTCACCGCATATGATATTCTCAAGCGATCACCCATCTAAGTACTGCCCAGTTTCCAAGTTGCTTAACTTCAGTGATTGCGCAGAAATCGGTGTTTCAACGTAATATGATCGTAAAACTTTTATACCAGTCGTACATCCAAGCTTACAGTTCCTGGTATTACCAAGTGGTCACCCATCTAAGTACTGCCCACTTTCCACGTTGCTTAACTTCGGTGATTGTGCGGGAATCGGTGTTTCGGCGTAATATGATCGTATGCCTTTTATACCAGCCGTATATACAAGCTTACAGTTTCTGATATTATCAAGTGGTCACCCATCTAGGTACTGCCCAGCTTCCACGTTGCTTAACTTCGGTGATTGTACGGGAATCGATGTTTCGGCGTAATATGATCGTAATCCTTTTATACCAGCCGTGCATGCAAGCTTACAGTTCCTGGTATTACCAAGTGGTCACCCGTCTAGGTACTGTCCAGACTCGACATTGCTTAACTTCGATGAAACGGTGTTTGAACGTGATGCGTCAAAAAAAAAAAAGATTAAAATTACCTTCGAATGTCTTCTGCATAGCAGTTTTTATCCCTTGTTTTCTGTTTAAGGTAAAGTATCCGGGTCCGTTTAAAAGAATCTTCAACGCTATAATTTTGTCGACTTAGCCTGATCGCTGAAATGTAATTTACTGTTTATTTATATATTTTTCCTCAAGAGGTATAGAAAAATTCGCCTATGAATCGGTTCACATTCCTTCCCAGTCATTTGAACAGGGGTAGAGGTTTATCCGTTGTTTCCTGTTTAGGATTGGGTTTCCGGTTCTTTCTAATGTCTACTTCAATTCTATACTTCAATCGTCTCAGAAATTGTATTTACCAATTACTTTTTTTCTTTTCTTTTCTTCTCAATAGGAGTGGCTAGGTTCGCCTAACGCCCGGTTTACACTCCTCTCTCATCTTTTTTAACAGGAGTAAATGTTCATTCCTTGTTTCATGTTTAGGATTCGGCTTCCGGTTCCTTCTTCTCTATAGGAGTGGCTAGGTTCGCATATCTTATAGTTTATATTCCACTTTGGTCTTTTTTAACTGGAATAGAGGTGCATTTCTTGTTTCCTGTTTAGGATTGGGTTTCTCGCTACTTCTAAAGGTTTTTTTCCAACATTCTTTCTCTCCAAATAGACCCTTGCCTTTTAGTAACGTTATCGACTTCCTTAAGGTGGATTGAATTTAAAAATTCATATTAGGTATTGCTTCTAACCGAATCATCGATATAGTCTTCGTCAATATATATATATATATATATATATATATATATATATATATATATATATATATATATATATATGAAAAAAAATATACGGAAAAAAACAAACAAAAATCCTCATATGCAATAATGCTGTTTTAATGTTAATATGTCAACATCGGACGTTTCGGTCTAATAAACCATCTTCAGGACATATTCATAAAATATAATTAACATTATCAATTCAACATGACAAAATATATATATATATATATATATATATATATATATATATATATATATATGCTGCAATTTTCCATTTTTAATTTCTAGTTTATTTTTCGTTTCATAATAATTAATTATCTTGTAGACGGTTTATAGTTTCTTTCACTCTCATTCACCCCTTGCGATTTAGCGGTAATATTTTCTTTCTTGGGGTGAAATAATTAAAAAAAAGTGATGAGTAGAACAGACCACCCGATTCTGTAAATGTTTGCTTTTGGTATTTGTCTATATTTCTGAGATGAGGTATTATGTACACTATTTACATTATTCAGACTATTGTCCTCATCTTTGTTGCCATATTTTCTATAACGTTTCGGCCTTTCGGTATCTGTCTATATTTCTGAGATGAGGTATTATGTACAATATTTACATTATTCGGAGTATTGTCCTCATCTTTGTCGCCATATTTATTACAACGTTTCGGCCTTTCAGTATCTGTCTATATTTTTGAGATGAGGTATTATGTACAATATTTACATTATTCGGACTATTGTCCTCATCTTTGTCGCCATATTTATTACAACGTTTCGGCCTTTCAGTATCTGTCTATATTTCAGAAATGAGGTATTATGTACACTATTTACATTATTCAGACTATTGTCCTCATCTTTGTTGCCATATTTTCTATAACGTTTCGGCCTTTCGGTATCTGTCTATATTTCTTAGATGAGGTATTATGTACACTATTTACATTAATCGGACTATTGTCCTCATCTTTGTCCCTATATTTATTACAACGTTTCGGCCTTTTTTCTATTTGCTTGGAAGACGGTGGATTCCACGGGAAAAGAAGTCATAGTTCTTGGAGGCAATCTATAATTTGACGTCGGCTCCCAATTTATTTGTTTACTTGCCAATTCTTCGGCTTTCGAAATAAATTTGCATATTTCTTTGCCAATAAACTTCTGCCTCTAATTGAAATCAGGTCGAGCACCACAGAAAATAGTTACATCATTAAAGTAATCAAACGAAATGATGTCATTGAAAATGTCGGAATAAAATTTCGGGGAGAATATTTAATGATGGAAAAACCTGGTTGATTAATCTGGCGGCAGCTTTGCTAATGGACATAGAAAACCCCGTGGAATGGGATGCAAACTAGAATCTGCAAGTAAATAGTTTTGCTTTCAACAGTAACAATTCATCTGGTGTATAATTATCAGGCGTTCTTTAAACAATATTTATCATGAAAAAATCAACGTAACACTTCAACAATAACATTCTTAAATGATTATTCCAGGGCGTAATTACCATTTTCTTCGATGTCTGCTTCCCATTTGCTTGGAAGAACAAAAAAAACAAAACAAAACAAAAAAACAGCAAATTTCATTTTAACCGTTTGATTGCATGCTTTACTGTGTGTGGGAGTCTGTGTCTTATTGAGGTACTATATACGAGGTAATAAAAAGTTCTCTGGCTGACCAAATGACTAAACACCAATTTTGTTTTCGAAGGTTTTCTTGGTCAGGACGCACTCGTATATAGTAATTCTGGACATTGGCAATTGCGGGGGGGGGAAATTATTGCTCAATGACAATGATCATCCGATCCCCTATTTTATGTCCAGTATCTCTCTCTCTCTCTCTCTCTCTCTCTCTCTCTCTCTATCTATCTATCTATCTATCTATCTATCTATTTATCTATATATATATATATATATGTTCCAGCGCCCTACGAGGCTGGCATCCCGCTCTCACCCCTTCACTGTTGAAACTCCTAAACGTAGCCGTCTCTTCTACTCTAATAGCTTCATGTCTCGCACCTCTCTCATCCGTGGAACTCCTTCACTTCTCCTGTTTCTCTGTGAGTTATAATTTCCAGCTATTCAAGTGTAATGTCAATCGACATCTCCAGTTGCCTTGATCTATCCACTACCCTCCTTCTTTCTTCTGTCACTCCTATCTGATCTTGCTCTAAATTTTCTGTAACCCCTTGCGTCCTAGTGGCTTCTCGCCTTGCTTGGGCTGAAATGCTTAATATATATATATATATATATATATATATATATATATATATATATATATATATATATATATATATTGGGTTGATGCATAATTATCAAGCGTTTTTAAAGCAAGTAATATTTCAACAATAACATTTTTAAATGAATTATCCGGAGCTTAGTCACCATCTTCTTCAATACCTGCTTCCCATTTGCTTGGAAGCCGGTCAATTCCGCGTGCCCACCCCCAAATAAGAAAACAGCAATTTTCACTAACAAATAACTCACCTTGAAAAACGCCTGATAATTATGCACCAACCCAATAACAACAATATATTTTATGATCTACAAACTATGTATGTAAAAAAAACATACCTTTTACCCTGAAATTATAAAATTATGTAGAAAATAATCAGATTTTTCATTAAATAACCCATCTATACCGCTAGACAAAATCAATCAACAACTGGATATTCACTGATCGATCAAATATTGCTATGTTCAATTGAAATGTATAAAATCGTCTTATTACAAGATTATTTTAGTAAAAATAGTTTCCCATGTACTCTTAGTACTGTTTCCAGCATTGTTCGGTGCTTTCTAAATAGTATCGACTGTCAACATCTTGATTATGTCATTATTTTCTCTCATAGTCACATGTGATATCAGTTTAATTGTTCCTGCTGTTCTAAGTTCTCAAGTAATGTGATTTCTATTATTTGGTGCAGTTCTTTGCTTGTGATTATGTAGCGCCAATTCCCAAAGTTCGAAGAAGGATTGTCTTCACTATGATATGCAATGCTGATTCGCTCAAAGACATTTTTAGGTATTGATCTGAGAAACCTTTTGAATAAAACCGAGAGAACAGAACGGGTGCCATGCATATAAAAGTTTGGATCTGATGAGACTGTTAAACATGAAACACGTTTTGGTTTGGGTTTTATAGCAATTTGCGCGATAGACGAGTCTCCAGCACTGCCTATTCTATGTTTATTTCACCTATTTCTCCGATACTAAATATTTATAACTGACCTACACACCGAGGTATTTCAAATGTATAGTATTTATTAAGTCTACATATTATTTTTTATGATAGATTCAGGATATGTGCCACCACTGCTTTCATTCCAATTCCAAATCATAGTTTCTCTTTGGCAAAGGTTACGTCCAGTCCCATATTTTTGAGAACACTTATACATCCGACAATAAGACCCCGGATCAAGAGATTGGAAGTATTGATACATCTGTTAATTGCTGTAGTTCCCAGATCCAGCCTGACCCAGGACAGCAGCAACTGTCAGGTTCCCAGATTTTGGCAAATAGCGATCACTCAAAAAGCCCTATGAAAGTATAAAAATACATATTTATATAAAAATGACCAAAACTAGAAAAAATATTCATAGTAATAATACCAATATCTATTTATAGTAATATGACTAATACATTTTTAAATGAAAATGGCCAGAAATTCATTTTATCTGTAGTTGAAGGCATAGAATTGCGTTCAAAATATATTTAAAATGATAAAATTGTGTTCGAATTATTTATATTCCGCCATAAATTACCCATAGAGATGTTGATATGCCGTTAAACAAAATCAAACAATCAAAATGAATCTATAAGACATTACTCTATATATTCTACAATTTCTTATATCAAACTGTATTCCAAAAATATAATTTCAACAATACTATAGCATAAAACACACATACCACCGCCCCTTGTAATTATGTCTCTGCAAATATGTATACGCACAAAAGCTGAGTATCAGCTACCATCTACTCAATTGTGAAAGGAG